CCTGCAATTTATAAGACAATCTGGTAGGTGGAAAGTGGAAACAGGGGAGTGTGTATACTGTTGTGATTGGCTGACTAAAGACAAGTGGAAAAGCAAAAAAAAAAGGGAGGATGCACCATGGATAACAAAATAAACAGTGATCAGACAGTATTGATAGGAATCCAAAAACAGGACATAAAAAGCTTAATTGTCACAATTGGAACGTTTTTTAGATATTCTTCTTATAATTAGCAAATCGAGGATAATCTGTAAATTAAAGAAGGCAAAGTGTGGTTAACAGGTTCCTCAAGATAATTGAAACATCACCTCTGAGTGACCATAAGTCATATTCATAACTACTGTACTGTATATTGCTGTCAACATTAAGGTGTCTGTTGGGTTTATCTAGGCACAAACCCCGCTCGAACAAAAGTCCAAACTGCACGACAAAACAAGACAAGACAGAGCTTTTTGTTGCACTCTAAATAAAGAAAGCACATTTTGTCAGCACAGACACAGATAAAGGAAATGTTAGAAGGTTGAAAATAAATCGTCTGACTGTCTGGCCTTTTCTTCATATTGATAGCCATATTAGGACACATAAAGGCAATGATTATATATCTATATATTTTAGCACAATATAAAAAATATCAATTCAACAGTGTCTTTACTTGGTCTTTTATTTAAATTGTGTGGTTCTCAAGGTGTGTTGTAATGGACATAAAAGCAAAACTATATTCTACTGAGTTGGAAAAGGCCTCTGGGTTACTTCATTCAAGTTCTGCCGGTGGGAAGCTCCAGATGCCACACCTGAGACTTTGGAGGCAATTGGTAAAACAACAGCAGACTTTTTTTTTTAATGTTGAGAGCTACTAATTGCAATTTCTTCTCAAAACACTGATGTGTCACGTGTACCAAACTGAATTTAATAGTAGTTCGATAAAGGAAGCAATGGAAATAATGGTTGCAAGCAAAAGTGGGAAAGAAATCTGTTGGATTTTTTCTTATTAATGGGTGGATATTTGTAGTTTGTGTCAAAAAACTGAAAAGAATCAGTGATGAAGGCATAGGACTCTACAGATGAAAACCAGAATAACTTTTACACATGACATTGGGCGTAATTCATGGTGTCCATTATACAAACAACAAATCACAGCTGAACAAGTGTAAAGAAACCTTAAAACCTTCAATGGATATCAGTTTTTCACACATATTCCATCTAATCTAGAGAAGTTAGATAACATTTAAAGACCATTGTGTTCTAAGATGAGCAAGCAAGAAGACAAACACGCAACGCCAGAAAAAAAATAAAGAAAGGAATTGCTGGAGCTATATCTAGGGGCTCCACCCCAACAGCTGATGTCTCCAAACACTACATCAAGTATCAGCTTCACTCTGCACATATGCCGCACTCCAGCAGCTGGGCTGTAGTCAACATGAATGCAAACAAAAGACCAACACAGTGACAACAGTAGTGATGATTAAATTCATTAGGGAAATGTCTCCCTGTAATGCATGGCAATTTGAGGTGAAGAAAGCACATGAAAATGCCCTGCAGCTGCACTCTCTTCCTGAGTGCTACTTTTCTGTACATTCATTATTTTAGCAGAGATCAAACGTATCTGACTGCCTTTACACTCCTCCCAGCTTCAAGCTTAGATCCTTTTCTTTATTTCCTCAGCATTCTATGCATCCATACATCTTTCTGTTGGTGAAGGTGAGAGAAGAAGCCATGAGGGAGAGTTTTCTTCACATAGCAGATGAGATGCCACAGAGGGTTTAAGGCTAAATCCCAAGTTATTTTCCACTTAATTTTTGAACTGCTATTGCCCTCCATAAAAGCTATTCCACAGACGCTAACAGGAATTGATCCCCTCTCTATTATTTCCCTGTGCCTTGCTTAATAAAAAAGTCCTCTAGTTGTCATTCCTCCTACATCGCTCTCATAATTTCCTTCACAAAACAACAACTTTCTAACGTTCTCTGTGAGCCTTCTGTGCACGTTGAGCTTCTCCCCACGGTAAAGCTGCCCTACTTCTGAGTGCGTCCTAAGCATCCATCTGCCATACTCGTAAATTGTGTTTCCCTGCGATTGCAGGTTATCTCATCTGTCAAAGCAGGCCTATCAATTTCACCAAGCAGTCTCGACAGAAGGCATTAGCCCTCCAGCGTCATTCTGGCATCAAGCATTGACAGACAATAAATGCTAGTGATATCAACATATCAGATGAGCACTGCTGACAGTTCTGTTGGGACTGTTAGCAATGAGCAGCTAAAGACACAAAAGCAATTCATGCTTTTGTTGTTTTCTGGCTACAAAGGCATGCATATCAGTTAAAGGAATGTAAAAAAGCTTCAAATTGCTAAACTTAAAGCAATAATTGAAGGCAAACAGCTATGTGCCTTGTGCTGCATGTTAGCTGATAGCCAAGCATTAACAACACTGAAGGAATAATTTGAATTAAAGTTTTAAGATTAATGCCTTACAAATCCTGGATCCTACAGTTTCCAAAAAGGAATTCTAACACCTTTAGCAGAAACATTCCCATGTGTTTCAAACGCCGGGCCCTCTTCTGTAACACAGTTGCTCAACACTACACACTCACCACACCCAGTCTAAACCAAAAAAAGAACTAGTGACATCACAATTCCTGTAATGAGGTCATTCTTCACGAGCCACATGAGAAAGTGTGTAACTGCTGAGGCTGAGTAGAGCCATTCACTCACAGATGCATTCAGGGTTAGAGCATCATATGAGTGTTTTCTGTTCCTTAAAGTGGGCGGGCCTTGGTTTGCAGTAGATAATTTATTCCTGAATTAGAATCTACCACTGTTTAAATCAGAATCTATTCCTCTTTGTTTATTGTTACTATCAGTGCAAACTGATTTAACCATGATTATTAATCCACACACATAAAGAATGTGAATTTCTGTTTTCAGTGTCATTGTACAGTAACTTTGACAAGGCATAGAGAAGGTTGTTTATTTGTTGTTGTTTTGTTTTTTCATTGTCATTTAGTATAAAGTACCAAATGACAATGAAAACACTATGACAACATAAATGAGGGCACTTGTTCAATGACTTCAATAGAGAATAGCAAACATAGCATTGAGACAGACATTTCTCTTGAGAGCCAGTGAATGATGGTGAGCAAGTCCAGGGGTATATCAGCCAAACAGACTCAGACTTCAAGTGAATAATATGCGCCTTCATAGGTTTTTGGTTTATAAAGAGTTAGGACTTAGATATCAAATGAAATAATAGCTTCTGCCTATTATTTAGGATTTATTTCAAGTATGCACAGGGATTGCTTTTGATTTTCTTTCTTTCTTTTTTGTAAGAAAGGCTCTCTCTTCACCAGAGCAATCTTGATTTTTTTATTTATTTATTTTTTAAATAATCCAATGATTACATTGTGAGATAGTGATTTTCATAACCATCCATTTTCAGAACAATTTGATGTCCAAACATCACCTCTATGCCACCACCAATACTAAATAAACAATCATAACAAATAGCTTTTCCAAATTCTCTTTATCTAAACACAAGCACCTGGACAGTGCAATGACTGAAAAATGGTCATATTAGTCCTACATAAGCTATTCCTGCTCCATTCAGACACATTGCACATTTGGACAATGAGATGGACTGTAATAAATTAGGCCTACGTGGCTCTGGGAATAAACAGGGTGTGGCGCACCTGTCAATGAGTCATTTTGCATCAGAATATTGCTTGTTTTTGTTGTTGTTTTCTGAGTAAAGGCTGTTGGGTCTCTACAGTAGATGATTTCCTTTTGTTTTCTTTTATTATTATTATTATTTTCTTTTTACAGAAACTTCCTCACTCTGTGTGCTGGAAAGAAATTCTCCATGGTGGGGACAGTCTTGGTTGGGGCGCAGCCATCGATGTCGATAAAATATCAGTACAAATCCCTCTGTGGAAAGGAAACGCTCCCTCTGGGCGCAGTTTGACTGCGCTGTCCGTGGTGCTGAAAAGACTTCAGCGGCCGCGGAACAGGTTCCACCTCCGGACACGGAGTTCATACTCCGTCCCCGCAACTGCCAAGTAATCCACAAGAGGGTGGTGATTACAGTGGGTGGTGGCGTTGGAGCCTCATGGCGGCCATCCCTTAACCACACACACACACACACACACACTCCCGCATTTGCGTACCTGCCAAACCAATATTTTCATTGGCGATAACCAGCACATATCGGACATGCGATTAAAACCTTCTTTTATTCTCTCTCTCTTTCTAGCTCTCTCTCACTGTCTCTCTTTCTCTCTCTCTCTCTCTCTCTCACACACACACACACGCAGCAGCAGCACCAGTCCATCCGTGTAACTTAAAGGGAGTTTAATAAACGTCTCAGCCTACTGTAATCACAGGGGGACGTTTTGGAAAGAGTAGGCTAATCTCTTCCTTCCCTCAATCCCCCCCTCTCTCTCTTTCTCTCTCTTTCTTTTTCTCTCTCACACACACACACACACACACACATGTTTTTTCTCTCCTCTCCTCACTATAATAATTTCAGCTCTACCTGACTCTGCTAAAG